GGTTTCAGGTGTCTCCTTCAAGTTCTTTTCTAAACACGCATAAACATATCCATTTTTCTTATAAAAATAAGCTTGACCTTTATATTCTGCTCTGGGACTCACTCTGTGCAGGAGGGTGGTCATCTCCCCCCTCAGCATTCACCTCTCTAGCCTCAACAGCTGTACACCTACTCTTGATGTTGCCGCACTCCCTTGCCGCATTCCTGTGCAAATGGAACAGAGGACAAAAACAGACCTCCATCTTCCTACTGGTAGACATTAGCCTGCTCTTCATTTAATATAATATGGTTCACATATCTTTGCCTGTGTGTGTGAGCATTGCAGTTGGGTGATTTGTATTTAAAGGAACTGTGCAGAGCTGGGCGCTGGTGGCTCATGCCTATAATCCTAGCAACTCAGGGCAAACAGTTCTGCAAGACCCTGTCTCAAAAATACCCAGCACAAAAAAGGGCTGGTGGAGTGGCTCAAGGTTTGGGCCCTGAGTTCAAATCCCAGTACTACAAAAAATAAATAAATAAAATAAAAACAGATAAAAAGGGAACTGTGAATATTATTATTATTTTTTTTCAGATGGGGGTCTTGCTATGTTGCTTAGGCTGGCCTTGAACTTCTGGGTTCAAGAAATCTTCCTGCCTCAGACTCTTGAGAAGCTGGGAATAAGCATGTTGAATATTTTTTTTTTTGTGGTACTAGCATTTGAACTCAGTGCTTCCTGCTTACTAAACAGGCACACTACCACTTAAGTCACTCTACCAGCCCCCCCACCTTTTTTTTTTTTTTTTTTTTTTTTGGTGTGTTGGGTATTTAGAGATAGAGTTTCACGAAATATTTGCCAAGACTGGCTTTGAACCTTGATCCCCCTGATCTCTACTTCCCAAGTAGCCCAGATTGCAGGCATGAGCCACTGGCACCCATCACATGTTGAATCTTGATAGTTCAGTACTGGTAACTCTGAGGATGGATGTACAGACATCCATCCAACCATCCATGCAGCCATCTGCCATGTAAATGTGTCCATCAATGCATCCACACACATACTGTTGGCCACATTTACGGAGCATCTATCACGTGGTAGGCTTTGAATTGGACAAGGGACTCTGTGGGTGAGGTGGCTGACTCAGTGCAGCTCCTGCTCCAGTGGGATACAGAGCTAAGTAAACGGCATCCCAGAGTTCGCCCAGGGTCAGATACAGGTAAGGATCCTCTAAGGTGCTCCCACTTGCTCTGGCTGCCATTCTGTTCTGAGGGCAGTAGTCACATTAAATTCCTTCATTCCTCTGTCCTCCTCCTCTACACCTAATCCAGTGTGGAAGCTCACTTACCTCCCAACTTCAAGAACCTTTCAGTATTCAATCAAAATCAAACACTGGGGATATTCAACAAGCTCTAAGCCCTTTTTGGGCTTTTTAGCCTTGACCATGATTATTTATTTATTTTTGCAGTACTGGGGTTTGAACTCAGGGCCTACACCTTAAGCCACTCCACCAGCCCTTTTTTGTGAAGGGTTTTTCAAGATAGGATCTCTTGAACTATTTGCCCAGGCTGGCTTGGAATGAAATATTTGCCAAGACTGGCTTTGAACCTTGATCCTCCTGATCTCTGCTTCCTGAGTAGCTAGGATTATAGGCGTGACCCACCAGCGTGGCTTGACCATGATTTTGAACAACTATTATCAATGCTCAGCAAGTGCTACCAGTGCTTCCTCTGAAACGGGTCCCCTTTCTCTTCCCATCCTGCTTTTATAAGGTCTGAGGCACCACTGTTGCCTAGGATTGGCTGAAACAGGGTGTTAGGCATCTGCTGTTTCTGTTCTTGCCCCTGGCAATCAATCCATACACCACACAGCAGCTCAAGAGAGCTTTTAACATTGGATTTTGTCACTCCCCTCCCTGCTCATATTCTTCAATGGTATCCCTGTAGGCATAGAATAAAATCTAAACTCCTCTTAGGCTCACCAAGGGCTTAAGTGAGCAGGGCCCTCACTGCCCCAGCCCTTTCCCTGCCTCCTCTACTTATTCTATCCAGTCATATAGAGTCCCCTCCTCCCCCCCAAAAAAAACATGCCAACTCATGCTTCTTCCCTCAGAGCTTCTTGTGCCTGGGTTCCCCTAATTATCAAGGACTTGGCTGAGATGACACCACCAAGAGGTGTTCTTTGACCATTCTGTCTGAATCAGAGGTGTTCCTTGACCATTCTGTCTGAATCAGGACCCCCAACCCAGTCATCTTTCTTCACCATTCCCTAGGATTCCTTTTCTCCAAATCAATTGTCTGAAATGGTCTTGTTTGGTATTGGGTTCCTTATATGTCTGGTCAGAGCTTCAGAGAGGTAGGACAGGTCAAGCTTGGGAATTTGAGGGGGCTGAAGAAGTGTGGAAGTGCTGAGCTGGAGCAACCCACTAACCATTTGCTCAGATCCCCTTGTTCCTTTAAGCCTGAGGCTTTCACTGGCACAGCCATCATGAAGCCCTCAAAACACTGGAGAGAAGTTGGCATTGTAGTCCCATTTGCAGGTGAAAAATTGTTCAGAGATGGAAATGTTTGAGGTGTCTCCTTCAGGATTCATTCTATGCTGGGCTCATGCCTGTAATCCTAGCTATTTGGGAGGCTGAGATTGGGAGGATTGCCATTTGAGGCAAGTCCAGGCAAACAGTTCATGAGACTCTCATCTCCAAAATGAGCAGAGTGGACTGGAGGTGTGGCTGAAGTGGTACAGTGTCTGCTTTGCAAGCATGAAGCCCTGAGTTCACACCCCAATCTCACCAAAAAAAAAAAAAAAAAAAAAAAAAAATCATTCTATACATGTAAAACTCCACAAAAGCTGGTGTAACACAAATGGTCAGTGTCATGTCAGCCAGATTTAGAACTCAGTTCTAATGACTCGAAGGCAGGTGGTCCTCACCCTGCTGTATGGTACCCCCTCCCCATGTGAAGATCTCCAACCTCAGTATGCCAAACTGAACACGCTGCCAATATGCAGCAGAGCCTGGATTCTAACCCAGGCTGGCCTCACCAGCCACTCCTGGTACCAAGCTCTCTGTACCATCTGGGAAGGGAGGGAAGGGAAACTTCCCAGGTTCCCAGGCTTCAGGTTGCAGAGAGATAAATGGAACCAAGCCTGGCAGCAAGGCCCACTTTACTTCCTGTTGAAGTGACCTGAGGTTACTCAAGGTCACAGCTGAGAAGCCAGTCAGGCCTTGGGATACCCTTGGCTGGCTCCCTCCTCTGAAATCCCCTCCGGGGTTCAGGTAGCACAGGAGCAGGGCTACCCAAGTTTAGTGAAGACACACCCCTTGCACTCTGAGCCTGGGGTTCAGGGTTAAAGGATTTAAACCCCTAGGTATCCACTTCCCTACCTGTAAAAGGTGATTCATGGGCCAGGCATGGTGGTATACATCTACAATCTCAGCACTCAAGAGGCTGAGGCAGGAGGATCCCAAGATCAAGGACAGCCTGGGTCTGAAGAGAGACCTTGTCTCAAACAAACAAGCAAACAACCAGGTGGGATACATAGTAACACCAGATCTACTATTATCATTTTTTCTCCAATATGGTTGTATTTTCTAAATTATGGGACGAATGAGAGAATTATGGCTCACCACCCATTTCACTGGGAGGCTGGAAGAACTCAGAAAATGGGAGTCCTGGCTGGTGGAAGTGGCTCAATCAGTAAGAGTGCCTGCCTAGCAAGCGGAGTGCCTGTTCACATGTCCTGACATAACTCATTTCCAAGTCCAGCTCAAATGGCTCTTAAATATCCTGTCTCTTGTAACCCCATGCTGAGGTCTATGTAGTCATTCTCTCCTGCCTGGGTCACAGGAACGGACCCCTTACCCACCTTCCCATCTTTTCTCATCCGATTGCCTGAAATCTTACCACAAAGAGTCTTGCCAGGTCACTTTGCTCAAAACACGTTGGTAGTGCCCTCCTTATTCTGCTGCCCTCCTTATTCTGCTGTAGGAGACCGCAGGACCAGGCTGCTACCTCTTTCCAGCCTCATCTCTTTGCCCCTTTCTCAAATCACCACACTGCAGAGGTGCTCAAAACTTTCTGTGAGCACCCTACCTAGCTCAGCACATGCGTTCTGCTTGGGCTGTTTTGTGCCAGAACCCATCTGAGTCCCCTTCCTATCCTCCCATGCCAGGTGCCTCTTCTGAGCTCCCCCCAGCTCCCTGTGTGTCTTTTTACAGCTCGTATCCACCAGATTTGTGGCTGCCTGTGTCCCTGTCTGCTTCTCCAGCTGGTCTTAAGCTTGGAGGAGTCGAGGAAGGCAAGACCACCAGAGTCCCTAAACATTTGAGGACTGAATAAATAAACTACAAAATGCCGAGGGTCTGAGAAGGACAAGGCTCCCAAAGGGTTCTCTGGCCCCAGAGAAGTTAATCTAGCCAGTTAGACCAGCCATAAATGTCCAACAAACTGAAAAGCAACAAAAGGCTTAGATAACAGCCTGGAACCAGACAAGCTGGGTCACAGGCTGCGTGATGAACTGCTCCAAGTCACTTCGCGGGTCGCGACGGCTTAGCAGACCCCCCCTCAGAACCAGGACCTGCTTGGGTCTTGGGCCACCTTTCTGGGTGTCAGTTTTCTAAGAAATGGGCCTGCTTTAGTGCTCAACGAGCTAAAGTCTGGCGGGACCCTGGAAGGCCGTTCCAGCCATAGTTTTCAGATTGTTTCTCGTCATTGTTTCTTCTCTTTTTCTGCTCGCGCTCTCCTCTGGTCCCAGCCAGTCCCGGCTCCCACCCCCCAGCCCCGGACCTCCCACTGCCAGGCTGGGGCCCCTCTCCTTGCCCCTCCCCTCCCTGCCGGAGAAGGCGGGCCCGGCTGCACGGCGTACCAATCCGAACGCCCCGGGGCGCCTCTGCTTTCGCGAGTCCCACCCTACGCCTCCGTCCGCCAATGGCGCTCCGCACACGCCCCGCCGAAATGCCCAATCGCAAGCGGGATGGGCTGCCGGCGCCCCGCCCCTGCCGTGTTTGGCCGCGGCTCCGCGGGCGGCCGCGCAGGGCCTCGGCATTCTCCGAGCGGCGCCGCTCGGCTTCGGGTTCAGGCGGCAGGGTCAGCGGTGCAAGCGGCAGCGCTGCTGCTCGCCGAGCGCTGAACAGAGGCGGAGGACGAGGCGGAAGCCACCGGCCGGGCCGGAGGGCGCCTCAGCTCCGCCAGGGCCCCGCGGTGCGGGTCCCAGGACTGAGGAAGAGTCGGACCCCTAGCTGTCCGGGGCCGACCGGGTGCCCGCTTCGGGGAGGCCCGCGGCCGGACGTTGCTGGCCCCTAGCGTCCCTGCCGCACCTCCGGAGAAGCTCCCGGATCCCCGGCCGCCTCTGGGGTGCCCTCCATCTCACCTGCGCAGGCCGCCTGGCACCAGGTGCGGGGGAGTGAGCGCGGCGAGGGCGCCTCCCCCAGCCGCCAGCGGGGCGGGGGCGGGGCCGGTTGCGGCTCTCGACCTCACCGGTCGGCCGGCTGCGCTCAGTCTCACCGGTCCGCCGGGCCGCGCGGCGTGAGCTCCCCCCGGGCCCGGCCACTCGGGATGCTGCCCGCCTGTGCCGCCGCTCGCGCGCCGCCTGCCACCCCTGCTCTTGCCTCCTGGGCCATGCCCAGCTGTTTACATGCCGGTGAAGCCCCCGGCCTCTCTGAGTCCTTCCGAGCTCCGGCTTCTCGAGGGTGAAGCCAGCTGGCTCGCGAACTGGACTGGACGCTCAGACCTGGGGCTCTGGACTCAGATCCCCGCCCGCTTCGCCGCCTCCTCCTCCACCATCTGGGCGGGATCCGGCTCTGGTGTTTTTGAGGAGGGGGTGTGGTGTAGAGAAAGGAATCCTGGGGATTTCTGCCCCCCCACCCCCGCCGCCTTTTTTGGCCTTCGGGGCTTCAGACTCAGGGAACTCGCTCATGGCTTTCTTGATGAAGAAAAAGAAATTCAAATTCCAAACCACTTTCACCCTGGAGGAGCTGACCGCGGTCCCCTTTGTGAACGGGGTCCTCTTCTGCAAGGTCCGGCTGCTGGATGGCGGGGATTTTGTTAGCTTGTCCTCAAGGTAGGTCCTGAGGCATCCGCGCTGGCAGGGGAGGGGGCTGATGAGCGAGATCTAGACTTGGCAAGTGTGGAAGCCCCCCTGGTGGCCGGGAGGACCCCCGGGTTTGTATATGTCTGGGGCAGGTTTGCACGGAGCAGAGTTGGGCCTGAGCAAACTGGCAGGATGTCAGGCACCTGTGTGCAGGTGACCAGCCAGATAGTTGGACGTCTTTTCTCAGCCCCGTTTTAGAGCCCTACCTGCCGTGCACAATAGGCCCATTCTGCATACTCGCATATAGAGCCCAGTGGGTCTTGCACCTTGATGGAAGGGATGTTCCAGGCTACCTTGCATCCCACCTGACCACTAGAGCTATCATATGATTTAGCGCCTAGGCCAGTCACAGGTTCTCTGGCACTCCCCCGTGGCTGGAAAGGCCCAGCCCCTCCCGGGCCTGGCTGGAGGTTGCAGGCTAGATTTTGGCCAGCCCAGCCCCCTCTGAGTGAGCATCTTCTGGCTGGAGCTGAACTGCTTTGCATTGCAAATGCCCTTGTCTGGAAGCTGCTACCCTCTCTGAAAGAAGCCCTCGAGTTTGGTTTTGTGTTTGGTTTCCCATCCTGGCAGGTCCAGCTGCCCAGCTTATTGCTGAATGGGACTGAGTTCCCAGGCCATATTTTGCATACTGGGCCCACCTGGGTTCACACAGTCCTGGCCTGTCCCAATGTATCCTTGGAGTCCAACAAATGGGAGTTCGAGTCCAGGCTTTCTGAGATATGATTCTTTTTTTGGAAACTGGGCTGTCTCTGAGAGTTGTCTGTGTCAGAATTACAGAGAAGTTTCAGTAGATAGAACGTGGTGCAGGGCCTGGCCCCGGGCCTACGGCATTGTGCTGCTCTTTATCTGGTCTCTGTTACACCTCTGTATTATAGAAACTGAGGCCTAGAAAGAGGAGCTGGCTTGCCAGGGACCTTCCAGGGAGGCAGTTGCCAACTGAACTTGTCCAGTTTGGAAACTTGTTGGATGAATCTGGGGGTCAAGCTGCTCAGCCTAACCCAGATTTTGGAATCTCCTATGTGGACAGGGTGGTGTTCTTTTCTCTGCACTGGTTCCCTGTTCTACTGGGAGCTGCTTATCTGAGGAATTTGGACAAGGGCTGCCCCTTTCAGTGGGGGTGGTGGCAATTCTTGTTGCCTGGGAAGCCTGTGATCCTGCAGCCACCCCACACAGCGGCCCATGGTTTCAGAGGTCTGTGCTTAGAACTGGAGCTGGTCACTCAGTAGCTGGGTGACTTTGAGCTATCTCTCTCAAAGAGATTAGAGAGCTAACTCCTCTAATCGAAAGAGCCAGCAATTATGGGTATTGTGCTCTGTGTTTTACAAACACTGCTTATTTAACCTCTTGACTCTTGTCACGTAGTTCAGGGATAGAGGTTGGGGGGGGGGGGGTCCCATGGGATTATCCCCATTTTACAGAGGTAAAACTGAGGCCCAGAGAGTGATTTGTAGAACCTAGGGCTGAAGGCATGGCTCAAGTGGTAGAGCATCCACCTGAGTTCAAACCCCAGTACCAAAAACAACAATAAAAACCCCTGCTGTACAGTGGAACCTAGATTCAAACTTAGTGTGAACTTTTAACTTTTTTACTTTTTCGTGCCTCTGAGCCTCTTTTGTAAAATGAGGCAGTGATACTCACCCCTTGGTTGTGAGGGGAATGGATAGATATCATGTCTGGCCTACCCAAATTGCTGCTGCAGTTATGGTTACTGTGGGCAGGAGGGGCCCAGCTCCCAGTCCCTCCAAGTCATAGGGGACACCCCCATAGAATAGGGGGCCTGCATGTAAGCTGGGAAGGGGGACAGTGCCTTGAATGCAACCTAGGAATTGATAATCCAGCATAAGATCTTGCCTGGCATCCCAGGCCCTGTAGCCACCGCCACCCTACCTGTCAGTCTTTCCATTGCTCTACCTGTCTGTCCCCTCTTCCAGGAAAGTCTGGAAATTTCGAGGTCTCAGCCCACATGGTCTGGATTTCAGCTGTTTTCCCTTTTTTCCTCCTGGCAAGGGACCTCAAATTCCCTGAACCCACCTGAGCCCAAGCAGCCTTTTCAGTTTTCATCTTGCATGAAGCCTGAGGGGGCTGAGGAGGCAGGAGCTGAAATTGAGGCCCAAGGCTGGATACTTAGTAGGTGCTAGGTATCTGTGTGCTGCTGTGCACGTATGGCTAGGGAGAGCAGTGACATTGAGACCTGAAGCCACTTTTTTGTGGGCCTTTACCCAGGATATGGGGGTTCCTGGGTTCCCACTCCCTACACTCACACCCCTGTCATATTGTTCTATAGCCCAGGAACCCCACCTCAGCCAAAGTCTCCTTGTTTACAAATTGGGATAGGACTAGGGTGACTGGACCTGGCTAGATCCTGGGCCCAGATCCAGTAGCACATTCCCCCCACCCAGGGTGGGGGATTTCCTCTGAAGTGGCTCAGACCTGGTGTTGGCTGTATGGGTGGTGTCAGAGTGACACAGCCTGAGACCCCACCCCTGCAGCATCCACCCTCTTAGTGGAGTGTGTTTTCCTGGGTGTTGGGTGCCATGGCAACAGTTGGGTACACAGCTCCACCTGACCCAATTTGAGCATGTAGAGCAGGTGGCATGTCGCGTTGTTCCTCAGCCTATCTTTCTAACACCTCCATATGGAGTGGCCATCCTCACAGCTACTGTGTTCTGAGCGCCAATACTGTGTGCCAGGCACTGGATTGAGTGTTCACAGATGATATCCCTGTTAATCCTCCCTGCCATCTGGAGTGGCACTGAGGCCAGAGAGGTGAAGCCACATGCAGGAGGTCACCAAGTGGTAAATGGCAATTGGAAAACTATTTCCTTTATCATTATGGTTTAAGCCACCTTTGATTGTGCCCTTTACTGAGTGCTAGGGACTTGCTGAGCACCTCAAACGCTTGACCATTTGGAGCATGCATTTGGAGTCCCCACAACCATCCTATGAGCTGAGGGTATTAGCATTATCTCCTCTTGGAGTGAGGACACTGGGGTCAGGAGAGTTGAAGTGTTATTCAGTTAGGTCCAGCTCTAGAGCCATCTTACCTTGGTGGCAGGGGGTTAGAAGTAGCTCTAGACCCATGTGACATCCCAGAACTTTGCAACGTCTCCTGTCAGTGGATTGGGTAGTACAGAAAACTTCAGAAGTGGGTAGTCTGGAGGCACTGAGCTGGGTCATGTGAGGCCCAAGGTAAGACTCCCGGGGCCCATAAGGTGGGGCAGAAGTCCATTGCTGTGGATTTGGGGCCAGGCTAGCCCTGGGGCACCGTGGGCAATTGTCAGAGTCCTTGCCTATAGTCTTGGGAGAGATGCAGAGGTCCCATCCAAGTCTGGTGAGTCAGGAAGTAGTCAACCTGTCCAAGGAAGCCTTCAGGCAGAATCCCAAACATCCCCAGAGGGCTCTGCTCCCAGCTGGCACTGGTCCTTTAGTTTGCACATGGCTGGTGGTGCCGGGGGAGGGGAGTGTGAGGGAAACACTGACTTACCTCACAGCAAGGAGGAGAGAAAGGCAGAAAACATTTTCTCAGCCAAGGACGGGGAAGAGAAGTGTCTTGCCAGGGTCATTTCATAGGAGGCAGACTCTGGTTTGTGTCTCGCCTTTGTCACTTATACTTCAGTACTCATTTTTGCACAAAGGAGGTGAGCTGGGCCAGGAGGAGAGGAGGGACTTTGGTGGGAGCCCCTCCTGATCTGTACTTGAGTGCCAGGCTTGCTGAGAAGCAGACTGTTGAATTAGAGAGGCCCTTCCCCTGTCTTTGCTTCTTTGGCAGCTTTGAATCCTCAGTTGGCCTTCAGTAGAATTTTTATTTGGACAACCTGTTGAAGAGCCCTGGCTGCTTACTCCACAGTCATTAGAGAGTCGTTTGGGATTCTTTGATCATGGAGGAAGGCCTTGGACAAGTCAGCTCTGCAGGGTCTCTGGAGGCCCTGTGCCCAGGTCCTAGGGAGACTGGGTTGGCTTGGTCTTTCTCACATAAGCCACACATTCGGCTAGAGTCCTGTCCCCGAGTCCTTCACCTTCCCTCCTTGGAAAAGGCTATGGAATGCCACTTCAGTTTACTGTCATGGGAGGCCCACTCTGGGATATCTTGGTGCGGAGCTCTGGGAACACCCAGTTCCATCCCTAGGGCTGAGGGGAGCAGGAGTTTGGAGATATGGGGGACCCCTGAGATGGGCAGGACATGCACTTTCCTGCCTAGAGCAGGGGTCTGGAGGCTTGGAATGTCAGGGAGTGAGGAGAGGGGCTAGCAGGCACAGGATCATATTCCATCTTGACTGAGACTCTCTTGGTCCTGGACTTCTAGAGGTGAGCAGAACCCAGGCAGCCCTGTTCCCATGAGCTCCCACTTGGGTGGGGGTAGTATGTCTGATGAACATAATGGAAACTTTGGAGCTAGGTAGATCTGGGCTGGACCTTGTGGATTTCACTGGATCCTGGCAGACCAACTGGAGAAGCATTTTTGTCCAGGCATCTGTCCACTCTTTTGGCAGGTGTTGAATGAGCACCCAGTTACACTGGGAACAGTCCTTGCCCTCATGAAGTTCACTGTGTCATGATAGGGCACATGGAAGGACTTCTCCAAGGAAGGAATGCTGCATGGGAGCCTTGAAGGCTGAGGGAGATTAGAGGAGAGGAAGTTGGGGAAGAGCCCTCGGAGGAGAGGCCGCTGGTCAGAAAGCACTTGCTCTTGGAGGTCCAGGCAAGGGGTGATGGGGTTAGGGTGTGAGGAGGGCAGAGAGGCAGGAGTAAACAAAGATGGAAAGTAGCCAGACTGGACTGCTCCTGCGTTGGGAGTCCTATGAGGGGCAGAGGAACAGTATGGCCTGATTTGCCAACTAGGTTGGTTTCTTTTAGCTGCCAGATGAAAAAGATGTAAGGGAACTACCCTTGTCCAGTGCCTACTGGAGTTCGTGGGCAGGCATTGCTCATCTGGCTTGACTAGTTGGTGTCAGGCAGAGAGAAAAGTGGGG